GATAGGTGTGCATGTGTAAGAAGCCCCAGTGATATAGCAGCAAAAGCCCTGGAGGCCCCATGGACAATTAAGCCGGGAAGTGCCAGGCTCTCATCTGCAGCAGTGACAAAGGATGGCCCTGCTGTTTGTTTGGACAACGGGGTTTTCCTGCCACACCTTACATGTCTGGCCAAACATAACAGGGTTTAGACAAAGGCAGAGGAAATCAGCCTCATTTAGCAAATATTTTTCCCATTTGCCCCAGGAAAGCAGTGTAGCAGGGAGCGCACTTCACGGAGCGGCTGGTTCCTCGTTGCTGGGCGCTGTTCATTTTCCTCAGCTGGCTGAGCAGGGAAGATGCATCTCAGAAGCTGGAGAAACCCCTGGGACTTGGCTCTACATCCCCTCGTCTTAAAGAGAAGACTGGGGGGGGATTTGATGGCAGGTTTGAACTCCCCGCAGGGCGGTTCCAGAGAGCATGGAGCGGGGCTGTTCTCAGTGGCAAGGAGCAATGCAATGGGCAGCAAGGGAAATTTAGGTCGGATGTTAGGAAAAACTCCTTCATTTGGAGGGTGGTGAAGCACTGGAACAGGTTCCCCAGAGAGGTGGTGGCATCTCCATCCTTGGAGGTATTTAAGACCCAAGTAGACAAAACCTTGGCTGGGATGATGTAGTTGGGGCTGGTCCTGCTTTGTGCTAGATGTGACCTCCTGAGGTCCCTTCCCACCCTCATTGTCTATGATTCTCAGTGCACCTGTCCATTAACACCACACTGAAGTAGACTGGATAGTAGTGCAGTGGATTTCCCTTCACTCCCACCCTCGACAGCCAAATCCTTGTGCCACAGCCCCTGCTAGCAAGCCATGATAGCCTCTTGCCTGAGTTCCACTTACCTGTGAGGAAACATTGAGTTCTTCATCTGTCCCCTCACTGCTGCTGCAAACCTCAGCCTCCCTGCTGGATGGACAAGCCTCCCGCTTGATGTCTGGCATCTGCCAAGGCTGGCTGCCATCAGCGGGTCCCTCTGCTTTCAGCAGATGGGAGTCACTGGTGCTGGGAGGTGGAGTATCTTCGCTGGGAGCATTCACGGCATTTTCAAGGCAAACCGAGCCCTCGCCGCAGGCTGTCTGATTCACTGGCTGACCCAACGCCTTGTTGGTCACTTGGTGTTGGGCATCTTCCAAATGCCCAGCCTCTTTTCTCAGTTCAGAGGCCGAGGGGTCTTGAGGAGATGAGGTTTCATTGCTGTCTTGGAGGGCTAAGCATTCACCTATCCCTTCCAACTCACAAGTGCTGGACTCGGGGCTTTCAAGAGCTGGGGCTACGTCAGCGGGAGGCAGCTTTTCAGCTTTCCCCACAGCCTCAGCTACAGCTTCGGATAAGATGGTGGCAACCATGGCTGCTGCAAGGTCTTCAACTCCCTGGAGCAGCCTTTCTGGAGCTCTGGTGGCTTTGTGTGATTGGTTTTCATCTTGGGTTTTGCTGGCACCAGAAGACGTGAACTCCAGCTCTGCTGCTGATGTGGATTCCCTCTGGTTACGCGGTGGTACAGCGGGAGGAGACGGAGGTATCTCAGCCTGGACCTCGCTGCTGCTGCTGGAGGACACGGCCTCCACCTCTGTTGCTGATGCTGACTCCCTCTGGTTACGTGGTGGTACAGCGGGAGGAGATGGAGGTATCTCAGCCTGGACCTCGCTGCTGCTGCTGGAGGACACGGCCTCCACCTCTTCTGCTGATGTGGATTCCCTCTGCTTACACGATGGTACAGTGGGAGGAGACAGAGGTATCTCAGCCTGGACCTTGCTGCTGCTAGAGGACACGGCCTCCACGTCTGCTGCCAGCGTGGACTCTTTCTCGTTACCTCCGTCTTCTGCCGTGTCATGGTGTATCTCAGCCTGAACCTCACTGCCGCTAGAGGACACGGCCTCCACGTCTGCTGCCAGCGTGGACTCTTTCTCGTTACCTCCGTTTTCTGCTGTGTCCTGGTGTATCTCAGCCTGGACCTCGCTGCCGCTAGAGGACGCGGCCTCCACGTCTGCTGCCAGTGTGGACTCTTTCTCGTTACCTCCGTTTTCTGCTGTGTCCTGGTGTATCTCAGCCTGGACCTCGCTGCCGCTAGAGGACGCGGCCTCCACGTCTGCTGCCAGTGTGGACTCTTTCTCGTTACCTCCGTTTTCTGCTGTGTCCTGGTGTATCTCAGCCTGGACCTCGCTGCCGCTAGAGGACACAGATTCCACCTCTGCTGCTGATGTGGATTCTCTCTTGCTACGTGATAACTCGGCAGGAGGAGATAAAGGCATCTCAGCCTGGACTTCACTGCCCACAGAGGACATGGATTCTCTCTTGTTGCCTGATAAACCACCAAGAGGAGTCTTTGGGATCCCATCTACAGTGTTTCCCAGGGACATGAATGAAACAGGAGGGCTCACGGGAGAGGAGATGACGAGCGAGCGCCTGTTACTGCGAAGAGGGAGAGACAGTGATTGGATTTGCTTTTTCTAGGGGAGACACGGAGCTGCCACAGATTTGGAGACCTTGCACTTCCCACCTGGATACAGCATCATCTAGCACCCCCTTCCCTGAACAAGAGCATGTCCCAAGGAAACCAACAGTAGGTCAGCAAGATGCATATTTCTTTTCATCTGCTTGAACACTATACATCAGGGATTGCTATGTGACAATTATCTTGACCACTTCCAGGCACTGAACCCGAGATCTCTCCAGCTCAATGATGTGCCTCTGTTTTAAGCCAAAAGCAGTCAGTTCTGTACACTGAAACTAAAACAAGCTTAACTTTTCTGGGCTGGGCACAGCGGGGCCTAGGGGAAGGGGGTTATGGATGGAGATGGTTATATGTACGCAGTACTGAGCAGTCACACCTACATGGGATGAAATCTGAATGTGCCCTCTCAGGAGGCTGGGTTTTTGAATGGGTTTTCTGAAATCCTGTGAAGCAAATATACCTAGTTAAATGTCTCTAAACTTTCCAGGGATAATAGCATCGAAGTCAAAACACCTTTGTCAAGGCAGGTACAATCACCAGGGTTTCTATTTCCAGGAGCTGGATGGGGATCAGTGGCACCTGCCTCGGTGAGAGAGGCCAGGCCTTACAAGTGACTAGCAAGTTGAAGAGACATTGAAAGGCCTTGATTTTCAGAGAGTAAATGCTCAGCCCTGCTCACGAACTGAGCCCCACTGAAGAACTTCAGCATGGAGACCCAGAAAACCCAGAAAACATCAGCTTGAGTTGCTTCAAGCTGCTCCAAGCTTGAGTTGCGATCATCAGTGTCATTCTCCTTCTGATATTTGCAGTATTTTCTTTAGGTGAATTAAAAAAGAAGGAACTTTGGACCACCAGGGTCTGAAATATTAGGATACACTTTCCAAAAGGGCTTAAGGGACTTAGGAGCTGAGGTGTCACTGAAAGCCAACAGGACTTAAGCGTTTTGGGCACTTTTGAGAAATTTACTTGAGATCCAATACGGAGAGCTAGACCTTGGGCCCTTCTAGACCTTCCCTCCCGAGGGAACTAGACAGCCCTTTACCTTGACACTCCCTTGATGATGAAGACCTTGCTGGAGTGCTGCTTTTCCAGCTTGCCCATCACGTCGTAGAGGTCATGGTTCAGCTGAAAGCAGTGAGAGAGAAGCAAGCATCAGACCCTGTGCTCCCTGGCTGGCTCTTCTTCCTGCTCTCAAAGATCAGGCGTCTGTGTGGTCCCTCCTTGAGGCTCTCTGGCCACCAACCCCCACCCCAGTCCAAACCACCATCTTCACACACACAATCTGGAGGGCTCTAGGCAGAAAGTGGCTTCTGGTGGGTTCCTTAAGCTCAGCTTTCCCTGTAACCAGGGACCAGAGATGAATCGTCCACGCCGGTGGCTAGAGGTTCAGTTCCAATGGGATCCCCTGTATTTTTAACATTGAGGTTGATGAATCCTTGCCCAAAATGACCCAATGGGACAGGGCGTTCTCAACCTCTTGCTATGATCAAAATGCTTTTTCTGGAAGAGTGGCTTGAGTCTAGCACGGGATATTGGGCTCAGGGCAAGAGGGACTGGAAGAAATTCCAGGACTGGCGTTATTCAGGAGGTCCCACTGGGGCATGACCCACTAGTCTCTTCAAGTCTGAAAAGTCTGTAAATGAACCTATGAAAAGCATGCTCACAGCACTGGGCCATGCTACCAGCACGGGTTACCAGCAAAAACAGAGCAATATTATACTGGTCCTTTTGGCATCATGTTGAAAAGGGACACAACCACCTGCAATATCCCCAGGGCAAATACGGAGGGTTTTAACCTTCCTGATCATCTTCTAGGTGGCAGGGACAGAAGATTACTGCTACTGCTTGAAGGAACAGCTCTTAATAAAGCTTTAAAGCAGCATTTAACAAGGCACGCATTTGAAAGGATCAGTGTCTCACCTTGCTCATTTCCTTGTAGAAGATGTCTCTTAAATTGGAAATGTTCTGGAAGATGGTCACGTAGCAAGCAATCCGGCTGTTTGAAAGGGGGGAAACAGAAATACTCCTCACAAACTGAAGTTGTGTCACGCAGCGAAAGGAACAGAAGGTGGAAGAAATTAAGAGAACAGTTTGCAGCGCTGATTGGGTAATCAACCTTTGGCGTAGCTTCTGCGGGGATGGGCTGGAGCCTCCAGGACTTGAAATCAAGACTGGATGTCTTTTTTTTTTTAATAAAGATATGTTATTACTCCAGCAGAAGGCCTGGTTTTAATGCAGAAGAGAGTGGCAAGATTGTACGGCATGTACTATATTCAGGGCATCAGAATAGGTGATCAGATCAGGCCCTTCATAATAAATAAATGCATAAAAATGAATGGCAATGCTAATCTTCTGCAGGGCCAGAGTCCCTTTTATGTAGGGAATATAAATCACTGTCTCTACAGGATCCTGATGGTTAGGTACGGCTGTAGTCATTCATACGGTGAAACTGAGGCACACGAACAGAGGTGAAGTGATTTATGGGTATGCGACAGAGCTGAGACTGGAAGCCAGGCATCTGGACTCTCCGAAGGAGGGGAGGCCCTGTCCTAGCTCTGCAGGTTTCTATATAAGTCACCACCCACATGACCTCAAATGATTAGAGGAACAGGACATTTTCTGAGCAGTGTACGAGCTCACACACTCTGCTTCCCTTTTTTATTTAAGCAAATTGTGTGAATGGAGCTGGCAGGTGGGCAGAAATAAGTGGCACGTTGCACCGTTCTGGTTTAATTCCCCATATTCAAGACTGAGTTTAGAACTGTCTCCAGCTGGGAGAGTGGGTGGCGAGGTTTGTTAATATTGCATTTTAACTACCTTTGCAGCAGCAGGATGCTGATAGCCCTCATCCCCCTGCTTTACCTCGGGCGGGTTTGGGTGCTTTTGGGAAATGTGCCTTGTTGCACACTAGCATTGACTGTGTAGTTTTAGGAAGAGGTGCCTGGACTGGTTTAGATAGGGATGATCCTGCTGTGAGCAGAGGGCTGGCCTGGTTGTGAACTCCAGAGGGCCCTGCCACCTTTTCTATCATTGGATGTGATAGGACTGACACCAGAGTGAGACCCTAGAAAGATCTCATCTTCATTTTATAGATGGGGAAACTGAGGCACAAAGCAATTCAACGATTTGCATACAGCAAATACATGGAAAAGCCAGGCAGAGAAACCAGATCCCATGGCTAGCTGGAACCTGTCCCACAAAATGGGGGTTTTGGTCCAAAAAAGTGTCATTTTGTTGAAAGCAAAACGTTCAGCAAAAAAACCCGGCATCAGTTTTGACAAAGATTTGCCTAGGAAGGTTATTTTCCAGGCCAGGGGAGGGGGATCTGGGAGAAAAGAGACCCAGCCTGACCTGGCCAGCGAAGCAGCCATTCCAACACGCTCCTGCTTTGTACAAATGTTCAAAAGGGTTGTTTCCATCCCTGCCCTGAGCAGAAAAACAAGTTGCAAAACCTCCCAAACTCTTGTGAAACAGCACTGTCGCGCAGGCTGCTTTCATCCACATGGCACCGAATTTTCACACTGCCCTCAGCCATCGCTGCCTGAGGGCTGAGCTTTCCCTGGGCTGCTCTGTGCACCAGTTCTGTTGGCAACCAACGGCTCGCAAATGAAAAGGAGCAACGGCACATCCTCTTCTACTCCGAGGAAATGGTGGGGCAGGGTGGGAACTGGAAGGCAAAGCCGCTTTCTGCTCTCTAGCCCACGGAGCCGACAGTTTTGCCTCACTGAAGTCACCCCTGTAGTGCTGCTTGTTGCAATAAAGAAATGCAGAATGGGACCGAACTGAAAGTAACCCGCCAGGCACCGGGGATGACAGTGGCCTCTTGTTCCTGAAACCCTGCTTCCATCTAGTGGCCATGATTCATCCAACCTTTCCAACCCAAGCCCCTTCCCAAGGACCAATACGGCTATAACCTCGATACCTGGCACATGGAAGATACCAAATTTTGGCCGTTTTTTAAAAATGAAATCCTCATTTTTTCCCCAAGGAGGAAGCAACTATGACCACCTGAAACCTGAGATCCTGCTCCTGCCTTTGTTCAAGTTAATTTGCATCATTACAGAACCTCTCAAGAGAGCCTAAGGCCTGCCTGCCCAGACGAATTTTCCGTCTATTGACTCCTCTGTCAAATCCTGTGAAATATGAACTTTCATTTCTACCCAAGAGAACATTTTCAATCTTTTCTCCAATGCCTGATGAAGGGTGTTTATGCCTGAAAGCTCGCAATTAAAGACATTGATTTGCAAAAATCTTGTTGGCCTAATAAAACATATCACCTCTACCATAAGCCCAGATTGCTTTTCCCAAGGTTGGGGAATTAATGCAGCATCATCCCCATTCAAAGTGGGATAACTGATAATGAGGTGAAGGCTTCATTTTTGAAGAGGCTGGCTGATTTGGGGGTGCCTGTTTTGGGACACTTCCATCTGAATACAGGTGCCAAACTTTCAGCTGCACTCAGCACTCCAGACTGACGTACCACATTTATTTGCATACCCCATTTCCCCAAATAAAGACACGCACCTTGTTCTGAGAAGGCAGAATGAAGAAAAAAACATGTTTCCTTTTAACACAATTGTTGAGAATTAGTTTCCTTATTTAAGAAGCACACCCCAATTTCCTATTGCTAATTTTCAGGAAGAAGGGTGTGCACGGTACCTGAATAAATACGGTAATTGGTGAGCAAGAACTGATGCTTGATCATGTCCTTGCCTGTGCTTGAGGGATGGGATCATCTCACTGCTGTGTGCCTAGACAAGACAATCACTGGCTTGCCCATGGGATCGCTCCTTCTTCTTCCTACCTGCAACCATCCCCCAACAAGCAGCAGTGAGAAGTAGCGTACAAGGTGTAAACCTCAATACCGCCTTAGGGGGAGATAATACAGCAGGTTGGATCAGAGATGCTGTAATGTCATTGGCAGGACAACTGGATGGCTCTGTGTTTCTTATTCGTTTGGGTTTTGGGGTTTTTTAAGTGGAGTGAATTTGCTTTTTTTAATCACCAGCTGCAGTAAGTGACTCAGAATTGAAGCCAGTTGCCTGGGTCAAAGATCATTTGTATTTTCCACCACTGCAGATGCTGACCCTGCATTTGACTGCTCTGCAGACAAGCTTATCGCTTCAGTGAAAAGGGAAGAGGAAGTCATTCCTCAGCTATCTTTCTGTGTCCTTCTGTACCCACAGGAACATAAGTGCCATACTACATCAGACCAGTTGTCCGCCCAGCCCAGTGTCCCATTTCCAATGGTGGTAGGAGCAGATGCTTTAGAGGGTGAGCATGCGAACAGGGTATCTTTAAAGTGATCCCTTGTAGTACCCTCCCCTGGTATCCCTTGGCATTGCTTTAGGGACATCGGTAGACACGACCAATGGATCTATCATCCATGAATTTGTCCAGTTCAGCGCTTCTCAACAGGGTGTTGCAGCACAGTGGGATGCCTTGCGATTCTTTCAAGGGTGTCATGCAGCATTAATACTGCTTGGGTTTATCTTGTGAATCATGTTGGCACACCTGAGCTTTCACATAGGAATATGCAGTGTTAAAAAAAAACCATTCTGCCCTGCTGAGTTCTTTGCAACAGAAAAAATTGCTCTATTATTTTTTCTACAGTCAAAAAAAGACCAAAAAACAAAGCCAGCATTTTCTAAGTGGCACCTTGAGTTTAACCGAAGGTACCACGAGTCTAACGAAGGGTGCCTGAAGTTTAAAATGGTTGAGAACTACTGGTCTAGTTCCTTTTTGAACCTGGCCGTACTCTCTGCCTCCACAACCTCCTGTGGCAACAAGTTCCACAAGTGAGCTATGCACCGTGTAAAAAAGGACTTCTTGATTTTTTTTCCTAAAACTGGTCTCCTAACTTCAGTGAGTGTCCCCTCCTCCTACTAATCTGGGACTTGGTGAACAACAGTTTCCTTTTCACTAAGCCCACACCTTGCAGCATTTTATAGACCTGCTTTGATCCTTCTCTGCCACTGCCCTGGCCACGGCAAGCAGAGCTCTGCTATGCAAAGAAATGGGTTTTTTCTTTCTTTTCCCCTCTTAAAGTAAAAGGAGCTGTAGGCTTCCTGTTACACCTTGCTTTAAAAAAGAAAAACAGGGGCAAGCACTGCTTGGGCCGCCAAATGAAGGTTAGCCACAAAGGAAGGGGTGGTCAGAGGCTAGAAGCTGAGAGTGCAATGCTTATGGCTGTGCTACATGCACAATGATAGTCTATAGGACAGAGCCTATGGAAGCAAGAGAGCCACTGCTATAGGAGTCAGGGTAGCAACAACAAGCTGCCCATTACAATGAGAGGGAGGCAAGCCACCTGATGGGAAGAGTGTAGGGCTTGAGAGAAATATAAGCCAGGACCTGGCTCTGGAAGCTGCAGAGGGAAGGGCTCGGTAGGGAGAGGGCTGTAGCTGCATTACTCACTGAGATCTGGATACACATGGGAACTGGAGAGTAAGAAACGGAGACTTTGCAGGGAGCAGGGACTCAGGAGGAAGGTGGTTTTGGTGTGCAGCCAGTAAGCTACGGGTTTGGTGGTACAGCCAGGGTGCTTGTGTTTTGTTTTGCAGTTTAAACCGGTGCACCGGGTTTGGGACTGTAGCGGGGGGTCAGGAGGTCCCAGTAGTGCCAGAAAGGTACGGTGAGGCTTGTGCCTGCCAGAGGCAGGGCACAAGCTGCATTATAGCCCAAGAGGGGCAGAGAGGGAGGTCAGAAGCCTAACAAGGGTCAGGGACCCAGAGCCTGAGAAAGGGGAGAGACAGGGTCAAGGACACAATGCCGAGATAGGCAGAGCCTCAGTTGGGGACCCACAGCCTAAGAGAGCAGAGAGTAGGGCCAGAGACCCTCAGCCACAGGGGCAGTGACTGGCAAGGGCACAGAGGCCTGGTGAAACATGGCACGAGACTGGGAGCTGAACTGATTAATCGCTAGCACCTGTGAGGCATGGGCATGGCTATCGGGGTGGTTGGAGGCTGTGATTAGCCCATAAGGCAGCAAGTGTCCTGGGGGCATGTATGGACCTGGAGGGCCAACTAAGTGCAAGGACTGAAGCAAATCCAGCAGGGTCGGCGGGGACCTGCTGGCAGGAGGTCAGCGTGGAGCTTGCTCTAAGCATCTGGGACAGCCTCCCTTTCCAAACTCTACTAAGGACGTCGAGGTGTTGCAGGCAGGAATGAAGGGAGGGTGCCTAGAGCCAGAGCAGGGCAGGAGCTGAAGGGCCACCACGGGGCATCTTGGCCGCCCCTGGGACACCGGTCCTATTACACAAGGTGACGGTGGGGCGGTTGTGTGGCTGGCTTATCCACCCAGGATTGGATGTTACCTGCCATAGAGAACAGGCAGCTCTTCTCGAAGTTCCTTGTTAAGATCCTCAAACACAGTCTGAGCCTTGTTGAACTCCTCTTCAGCCTGCATAGGAGAGACGGACCCCACAGTCCCACAAACCATAGCAACACGGAGGGGGAATTAACAAAACTAGGAGCCGAGAGTTGCTAGGCATGAGAAAACCCAGCTAAGCGCTACAACATGGTGCTAGAGGTGATGGGTGCTAGCTTGGGCAGCAAGAGCCAGCCCCAGAGGCAGGTATCCATTTCAACACCAAACCTCCTTCACTCTTCCTAAGGGCCCAGAGATTCATCTGGGCCTCAGTGGGCACAACTGAACGTGCGCTTTACTTCACATGAGTCTAATTTAATGCATCGCGATCTACACACGCGCTGCAATTAGTGCACAGTAGATTAATTTACTCCGGCGTAGGCTAGTCCCGTCAGACACAGGTACTTTTCTACACTGCAGTAAATTACAGCACCTCAATGCATGTATGGATGGTCATGTTGGGATTAGTTTACTCTGGCTCAAACTGAGCTCGAGTATATTCAGTCGCATGAATTGCATGCGTAGATGTGCCCAGTATTGTCAGAGCAAGACCATGGGGCATCTGCAATTATCAGGCAGAATCTGTCTGTCCTAGCAGGCTATTAAAAGACTCTTCTACCCAAGTCAAACGCCTTGCAACTGCAAGGCAGTGCTTCCAGGACAAATCCAGATGCATCTAGGCAAGAACTAAGCCCTGCAGGAGCGCTCTTAGCTCGCACCTGGTCTGAGCTGTCTTTACCTTGGCGATCTTGGCTTCATCTTTCTTCTTGGCATTCTGCAGTGCCTCCAGGTGATGCCTGGCACTGTCATAGTCCACCATCTTCCGCCCCCGCTTGGCAATGCGCTCCTGTTTGAACACCAGGCACATGTGAGAAGGCTGGGAGGGGAGCAGGGATGAGCCACTGGTTCCCTAGGGAGCTAATTCCTGCTGTTCTGCACCTAAGAGCTTATATGCACAGCCCTCCCGTAGGGTGCTGGACCCCTATCTGCCCTGTTGTCCTGAGCCCTGACTGCTTAGAGGACATTCCCAGCACCCTCTGTATCCTCCTCTCCCACTATTCGCCATGCAGCACCGCTCGCATCTCTTCCCCAGGGCCTTCCCACCCCATGGGCTTTGGCCGGGGGGCCACCTCCTTCAACTCCTCCTACAATCTAGGCCTGTTTTTTTTTTTCTTTAGAAACATGGGGCATGTTTTTCCTTGGACAGTACCTTGATTTCACTGAACTGAGCCAGGTAATTCTCCATCAGCCTCACTGCCTGGTCGGCAAGTTTTTCCTCGTAATCTTCCCACAGGAGGTTGTTACTCTGGATATCAGAAGAAAGCCATCGGGGTGTTTTAAAACCTCTGTCGTTATATACAAGCCTCAGCCTTGGTTGGAGCCTTGGCCATTTGTCACCTAGGCTTGGGCAAGGGGAAAGCCAGCCCAGGAGACACAGCACTGACCTGGGATGCAGGGAAGCTTTGTTCACCCTGCTCTGCCACAGCCTTCCCCATGACTACGGTCAAGTTACTTTACCTCTCTGCCCTCCACTTGGACAAATATTAAAAAGCAGCTCTACCCCACTACTGAGGGCAGCTGGGAGGAGCCCAGTCCCAGGTGTTTAGAGCCAAAAGGCACGTGAGGGTCTGAACTCCCAAAGCTTTGGGGGACCACAGAAATCCAACCAGTGTTTCAGCATCTCCTTTCAAGCCAGAGGCTCGATTGCTGTAGGCTTCATTGCCAGTGGATGGTCCCCCAACAGGATGGGCAGAGGTTAAGGTGTGTGTTAAACCATAGAGTCAAACCAACAGGGGAGGGTTTAGCCAAAAACTCCCCTTTATCTGAAACTAGAGCTCCGGAGCTGAGATTCTTTAAAGCTGACTTGGTGCTACCCATTTATCCAGTCCAAGCTCAGAGGGGCCCTTCCCCAGCAGTGATGGGCAAGGGCTACACCACCGTATAAAATGTTAAACAGCTTACTGTATCTAATATAATCCATGCCCCTGCCCCACTGCAGGCAACAGTCATGAGCAGACCAGATGTTTCTTTTCATTCCCCCCCTGCTAGCTATTGTAGACCCGTTTGGACACAACATCCAGCACTTCAGTGTCCTTTGAGAGCATGTGTATGCCACACCCTTGTGCTCTTAGCTCCATTTCACAGACAGAGAATGGAGAGGCCAAGCGACTTGACCAAACTCAAGCAGCAAAACAATTTTTGAGCCTGGGTCCCTCCAGCTGTAGGCTGGCGCCCTCGCCAAGCCATCCATTCCTTGCTCTTCAGCAAACAAAGACCGGACAGTTCACAGGTTGCTTTTACCCAAGCCTCTCACCTCAGCGATAGCCTTCAAGTCCTCGTGTCCATCCCAGTCCACGCTATAAATTTCTTGCAGGGTTTCTGCCACTTTCTTGGAGCTTTCGTGCATCACTGGAAAAGCCAACCCAGAACAGAGCATGAGGCCACGCGCTGAATAATGATACTTCCTTCCCTGAAGACATGGGCTTAGCACCTTGTGACAAGGGGAATATGGTGGGAGGGCCAGGGAAAACTGTATTGCTCTTGGACAAAGGTGTTGGAGGTGGGTGGTCTCCTAGTTTCATAGTTGGGAAGGGCTGGAAAGGGACCTTACAGATCATCGGACACTTGGGCAGGAAAGACCGCTGGGATCAGATGACCCCAGCAAGACGGGTTGAGGGGGAGAAGGGAGTTTCACAAATTCATTTCTATTAAGGCCATCCAAACTAACCACAGGGATTTAGAGGCAGAACCCCCTGGCTGAAATAGAGGGGATTTAGGGACCCAGCTCCCATAACTAGGCTTTGAAAAGCTCATGACTCCTCCCCGTGGGCAGTAGTGGCCTTAGGGGAGGGCAAACTGTGTGACCGCCTGGGGCCCCACACTTTTTGGGGAGTGAAGTTTTTGCAAGGAAGTGGCTCAATTTGCATTTTAACACTCGACTATTTTTCCGATTCCCCCAAAGAACATTAAGATGCTTTCACTGCAGTTTCATGGAGAGGTCAACGTGAAATTGAAACCGAAAATGTCCAACTTGCTTATAGGTCATCAAAATTTAGCCTCTAGGGGACCCCAAATGACTTTCTTGCCTGGGGCCCCAACAACCCGAAGGCCACCACTGCCATGGGCAGAAAGAGGCAAGGGAAGGTAGCTGGGGGCTGGTGGGGTGCAGGAGGTTGGGCACTGAACTGAGACTTGAGGCATGTGGATTTGATTCTCAGTTGTGCCACAGACTCCTTACATGACCTTACGCCTGTCACTGAGCTGGTCTCTGAGCTTCAGACCATGACAAGGGGCAGTACTTTCCTGTCTCGCCTGGGAAACTGAACACAAGCCCCATGGATGAGAGCGAGGTGATGATGCCAGATCAGGATATAGCTGGCTCCCCTGGCATCCTTAGCTTGCAGAGAGGAGGTAAGTTGTCTGAAGGCATGGAAGGAGTTGGTATGAAGGATGAGATTAGAAAAAGAAGGCTACTAAAAAAGGCTGTGTCCCTTTAAGACAGCCACTGCCCAGTTAACAGGAGTCTTGGCATCTCTGATGCTTGCCCTAAAGCTCTATCTCCTGGAGTCACGTGAAAATATATACACACACATATATATACACACACATACATATACATACACACACACACACACACACACACACACACACACATACATATATATGCACACACACATATATACATACACATATACACACACACACACACATATATATATATACCCCCACACACATACACATACACACACACACACATTATTTATATATATAAAAGTATGGTTTTAACTTTTACAGCAGCGGGAAAATAAAATGGTTTAAATTCTGCCCTGGGTGTGACATGAAAAAGTTTCAGAAGTGCCAAACAACCTGGTCAAATTGTCATTTAAAAATATAGACCTTTGGATTTTTATTCAGTCGCCTAGTTTGCAAGGACTGATTCGCAAAGCTCGGAGCTGGCGACCTGGCATGCCAGCAGCCCAGCGTGCAACCAAGCTGCAAAGCAAGCTCTGGAAGGGAGAAGCAGTGCCTGCTACCTTTCACAGCATTTAAGAAAGTCTTCAGGTCCTTGTAGAGCTTGTTGCCTTCATTCTGAAAAAGCAAAGGGTAGCTTTATTGTTCTGGCCCTTTCCCTGCTCCTATTCCCCTTCATGCTAATGGCTCAGAGCTGGCTGCATCTGCTGCTAAGGGCCAGGTAGCAGCTGCTCACATGGGGACGCCCCAGCGCACGCGCGGAGGTGGAGAGGGAAGAGCTTCCAGAAAAATGGGCTGAAGGAAAACCAGGCTCTCACCCTGCCACCCAGTATGGAGATACACACTGTCCCTCGCCTCCCTGCCTCTCATCTCCTGGGGTCTGTCCCCTACTCCTTGCCCCACATTTCAGGGGACCCCAGACTGCCACTCCTTGCTGGGGTCAGACTGATAGCTGGTGGAGGCTACATCTGGAGTCCTGTGTCCAGTTTTGGGCCCCCCACCACAGAAAGGATGTGGACACATTGAAGAGTCCAGAGGAGGGCAATGAGAATGGTTAGGGTGCTGGGGCACGTGACTGATGAGGAGAGGCTGAAGGAACTGGCCTCATTTAGCCTGGAGAAGAGAAGACAGAGGGGATTTAATAGCAGCCTTCAGCTCCCTGCAGGGGGGTTGCAAAGAGGACGGAGCTGGGCTGTTCTCAGTGGGGCAAGATGCCAGAACAAGGAGCAATGGGCTCACATTGCAGCAAGGGAAGTTGAGGTTAGACATGAGGAAAAATGTTATCACTAGGAGGGTGGTGAAGCACTGGAACA